GTTAATGTAGGGGGACTCTGTTAAGTTAATGGTGTAATCCAGTCAGAATCATAACTACAATTATAGGGAAATAAATGTATGGGACCCTGTTAAGTTAATGATGTAATCCAGTCAGAATCATAACTACAATTATAGGGAAATAAATGTAGGGGACTCTGTTAAGTTAATGGTGTAATCCAGTCAGAATAATAACTACAATTATAGGGAAATAAATGTAAACAGGGTCCCCGTTAATGATGTAATCCAGTCAGAATAATAACTACAATTATAGGGAAATAAATGTAGGGGACCCAATTACTTTTGATGCAGGTAGGGGCTATATTTTGTAGTTATGTTACTGACATCTGTATATCCATATAGCCCATGGAATATAAAAAGGAATACATCTATATATTCTAATGTATATAAAAGGAATACGTCTATGAGATAGTTGTATTTACTATCAGTGTCTGTGAAATATTAAATCTTTTCTGTTGTGTAATACCAGCAAGATATGAACTACTAATGTGAGAACTTTTACTCATCAGCAAAAATATCATAAAGAACTACATATCACACCTGCTGCCATAACAAAAATCAGCCCACACATTCAAAGGTATAGTTAACTAACTACAATTAAATTAGATATGTCCATCAAGGTTGAAAATCATGACTATCATTTTTTGTCAAGCTGGTTGACACATAACTTAATAAATGCTGATTAGCTTATCCCAAAGAAACAGGTAACGAAATATTGGGTTAAAAAATAAATCTTGTTTCTCATCTAAGCACACAAACACCGTGTGAAATTACGAAGATTATGCAGGTATTACTCCTTCACATACTAAGATATCATGAAGCTCAAGTGGGAGTCGTCTGGTCACACAGACTTTGTTCACCTCTTATATAATCACCCAATGTACAGTGTGTCACTAACCACACAATAAAAGATGCATTTTTTAACCTGCACACCTAACCGTTCAGAATGAATGTGATAGAATACAGAAAACTTTAAATTGATCATAGCATGTTGAAATAATGTTGTGTTATTAATTCTTATATAACAGCCTAATATGTATGTAATTTAAATAAAATTTATAATGATTATAATCTGATTCACACCCTAACAGTTGTTGTTCATAAGAGTACATGTATTTAGTGTCTAGACTGATACTATATCTGTTGTATCCCAGCCAGACTGACTAGCCCAGGTATTTAGTAAAAGTAATTGTCAGCACTGGATATAACATTTGTTGTGTGATCGACACATAACAAAATATTTTTGTTTGTTTCCACTCATGTGTTCTTAGAATTAAAAAAAGCTTCTGCCAATTGAAATGTACAGTAAACACTTCTAGAGACTGCAGTGAAAGTACCTGGGAACTGGAGTTTTTAATGAAATGAGGAGTACATATTGACAAGTTTAGAAGTACACCTTACATTTGATTCCAAGTTCCTATTAACTGAAGTTTCCACGAGTGTTGTACGTACACCTACGGTAAAGGGGTGGATAATATTCTGTGTATGGAAACAATTCTGAAAATTCTGGAAGAATTTTCGGTCATGTAAAAACTAGGAAGTAAAAGAAAGAGTAAAAGAATCTGTATTAATTAGTGACATCATGTTGCTATGGTGTTGTCATTCAGATGCAGTAAAATATTTGGGTATGATTTTAGAATCCTAGCTTGTACAAAATCTGGAGAAAACAATGAAAGTTTCAAGTGTATAGAGTGCAATGTACAGTTTCAGGTGTATAGAGTGCAATGTACAGTTTCAGGTGTATAGAGTGCAATGTACAGTTTCAGGTGTATAGAGTGCAATGTACAGTTTCAGGTGTATAGAGTACACTGTGAACAGTTTCATTTGTATAAAGTACACTGTAAACAGTTTCAGGTGTACGGAGTACACTGTGAACAGTTTCAGGTGTATGGAGTACACTGTGAACAGTTTCAGGTGTACAGAGTACACTGTGAACAGTTTCAGGTGTATAGAGTACACTGGGAACAGTTTCAGGTGTACGGAGTACACTGTGAACAGTTTCATTTGTATAGAGTACACTGTGAACAGTTTCAGGTCAGTGTACTCCATACCTCTATACACCTGAAACTGTTCATACACCTGAAACTGTTCACAGTATACTCTATACACCTGAAACTGTTCACAGTATATGTACAGAGTACACTGTGAACAGTTTCAGGTGTATAGAGTACACTGTGAACAGTTTCAGGAGTATATAGTACACTGTAAACAGTTTCAGGTGTTTGAAATCCACACTGGTAATTTCAGGTTAAAATTATTTTACACTGTATTTGTTCACTTATTAGCAACATTGTTTTCTTGTGTAGAACGGTCAGTTAAAATAATATCTAAAGAAGAGTCTTACCTACATGCTTTTCAAAAGGAGTGTATGTTTATATATATAAACACAGTAGAAAATAACAATGAAATTCAGCTGTACATGTATAGTAACACTACTATCAAAACAAACATTCTATACTTATCACTGGCTGTTTATAATAAACCAATTTATGTTAGCTCAGGTTGTGTATAATCAGTTAAATACCTGCAGAAGTCTTATCATTTTACTTGAGTACACTTACTGCATTAAGTATTAAAAAAGACCATGAATCCCAGCATGCATCAAAGTATGATAAATAAACTAGTATAATTTCAAGCAGGTATTACTCTGTACCTAGGCAGAATGCACAAAAAATTAACTCTGGTCAAATTTTATTTCAGTCCTGAAAAAAGTAAAAAAACCTGTATGACCAGATGAGTGACATGGAAATAAAACTACAGGCCCTGAACCAATTGAAAAGTTAAAAACTTTTTCAATGGTCCCTTTTCTCCACCACATGACATCTATGAAATAATCAATGATGCCAAAATGATGCTTGATGTTATAAAGGAAATCTAAAGACGCTTCTTCCCATAATCCTTCAGACAACATTTTCTTCAGCCTCACTCACATACCTTTAAAACAGCTCCAGAAGGATTACCCAAAATATTAATTCTTAATTAGCTTTGAAATTGGAAGTACCAAATACACAAATCCTCTTTAACTTTCTATTTTGGTGTAGTAAAAACATCTCTTTGGAAGTCTCAAATAATTTGAAACCTCAGTGACTTTTGGCAGAAACATAGGAATTACAAAGTACTGATAGAACCTTGATGAAATAGATGTAGTGTAGCTGATCTTTCAAAACTCTCTTAAAGCTAAGAGTTGCAGTAAATTTTCTCTCATACCAAAACAAACAAACATTTTTTAACTTTGTGAATATGTAAACATTGCAAAAAGCTAGATTTCAAATACTGATAAATGTCTAACTTTGTAAAATTGGACAGATATTACTTTTGTTTCTAGGTAAAACACACAAAATTATCTATTTTTATCAAAACATTCTAAGGGCACTAGCATTGGCAAGCTGTTAAACCTAGATCAGTTGGGAACTTTACTAACCAAATTTTATGAGTCACTAAGGCAGATATACCTTATCACATAATCACTGAAAACAAAAATAGCTACCACACAAAAAATGCTGAAACATCTTGGCATATCAAGGTATAATAAAGAATAAGTTATACACACACACATGTAGCTATTTAATATATACTAAATATATTATCATTAATTAAATCTCACTTATGAGAACGTTTCATAATGTGCATATATATATACACACAAGACTACTTTGCCGAAGCATATAATACACAAATTCACTGGAATTTTGACAACTGTACACCAGTGGATGCTGTTTACACTTTAATAACTTTTAACAGAAGCTACATAATGAGGTACCGATGCATGAGGATTTAGAGTAAAATATAAGTTAGGGTTAAAACTTTCAATTCATTCAACACTTTTTACCACCTCGTGGTTTGATAGTTTCCGAGATTTGCCACATGGATTCTTCACACAAATACTCGTCAAACCTGTTGAAAAAGGAGATAACTTGTTCATTCCTCTTGAAAGGATAGTGAGCTTTCCTAAATCGTCTCATGTTCTCGAGGATGTTGAATTGTTGCCAGCGCTTCGAAAAGTTGACGTTACCATCGGGAAGGAAATCATTGTTTCCTATGTGGACGAAGGTTAAGTCCTGTAGAATCAGGCCAATGTAAGGTATGCAGGGAGGCTCCGTCTCCGCTAGAGCTTGACGATAAGCTCGGAAGGAAGAAGAACTATCAATCAGAGCACAGTACTCTTTCAGGCCCTCGGTAATATTTTTCTGCCATTCTAAGCGGCGTATTGGTGCCGAGTCAAGTGCAGAGAGTACTGCAAGATAAGAATTAAAGTTGTTCAGTTTACGAAGATGTTTGAGTATTTTAATGAAACGAGTGACGTATTTTTCTCTATCTCGAGCATCATTCTGTTCCAAGATGCGGGACCTCACCCAATAGGACATCTTGTTAAAATGTTCAGTGAAGGAAGTTAAATTTGGACTCAAGTCTTCTTTTTGTTCCTTGACCCATAATAGCACTTCTGGAATTTCAATCTTTTGAAAAAGTTCAGCATCTAATAATGTCATCTGTTCTGCTAAGACTTCTGACTTGAAGTCAAGTAATGATGCCTGACAAGTATGCACATTTAAGGAAGTCAGAAGGATCTGTAAACTCTGTTGAGAAAAACGATGAGCCTCACACTTCTCCACTACCGTTTTTCGAAGAACTCTGGCAAATGTTAATTCTCCACTACTCACCAATTGATAAATAAAATCTAAAAGTTTTTGAAAAACACCATGCTCAATATCGCTCACACACAAATCGTCAGCAACGCGCACCAACAGAGAAAACACATTTCGAGCAGCTCGCTGTTTTGAATCATTCAGGTGAATAAATTTATTAAATCTGTACAAAAGTTTATTGATCAGCTCCATGGGGGAAAGAATTGTGCGGTATGTTGTAAGAAAAGCTTCCTGATAAAGGAAGTCTTTTTTACCTGCTTTTGCAGCCTGAACAATGATAGCATCTATTGGACCACCCCGAACCTCTGGACCTTCTTCATTAGGTTTCTTCCATATTAAATACTGGGTAACCTCCTGTTCATCTAGTGGACTGTTTTCAGTTTCTTTTACACTTGGTGTTGGTGATTTTATCTGTTCACTCTCTTTTTCCATTGGGGATGAAATTTTATCCTCATCTTTACTTGAAGCATTTTCAGTGTCCAATTCTGAAAGCTGTGTCTGGGAGTTTTCTTTCTGTATTGGTACCTGTGTCTTGCCCTTTTTAGGAGGCAAAGCTGGTGGTGTAGTAGCAGGAGAAGCTGGCTGTTCTTCATCTCCAAAGCTCCTTTCTAAACTACTTAGACTGCTCTGACCATCTGAGATCACAGAGTCTTCAGAACTGGACACCCGAGCAGTTATGGAGGACTGTGGTTGGGTCAGAATAAAGTTTTGTTGTTGTAATCTTGTCTCCATTGCATGAAAGGTAAATTGTGAGTGGCATAAGATATCTCCTTCATCTGGTTGGTATGACAGTGTTTGCATATATGCCATAATGTTTTTCTTTTTCATAGGTAATGGTGGTGGATCTCCAACTTCTGGGGTATGTCTGGTACTATGAATAGGACATGTCGGATCATGACTACCATCCACCCAACTCTGATGTTCCAAAACTGGCTGAGGACTGTGACCTCGAGAACATACTGAGGTACCCACCATTCCAAAGCCATTTGTTTCAGCCAGTAAAAAAGTATATGTTGGTACGTTATCATATTGAGAAGGTCTCCGAGTTCTTGGAGCCACTCTCTGTTTAGCTGGGAGGGCAGGAGGATGTTCAGGACTGGTGTTTTCTGATCCCATTCCTGAAGTGATTATCAGATTTGTCTGTTTACTTTCTTTTGAGAAGTGGCTAACACACGATTCTACCATCCTTCCCAAATCAGTTGATACTGGGGACCTAACACTTGCTGAAAGATTTCTGTAGCTTTCAGTATGAGAAAATCCTAACTGATGAATACTCACTTCTTGGTTTTTCTGGTTGAACAGAAAACCTTTTGGTGTGCTCATTGTTTGCAAGTCATCAGTTGAATAATCCAAATTTGAATCCACACTGCTACCCAGAGATTTACTGACAGGTGTTGATGAAAAGAAATCATAAGGGCTATTCCAATGAGGAAAGCCTACTGATGTGGCATCAGTCCTAACTACCGAAGAAGCTATATAATTTGAAAAGTTACCAGATGTATAACTCCAGATATTCTGTACATCATGAGGACTTCTGGAAGAGTCTCCAGAATCTATCTGTGAACAAGCCATTGGGCCATTTACATTACGTTTCTTCGGAGGAATTGGAGGTGCTGGTTCCGATAATCCTGCTTTAAACAAATAATGTAAATTTAAATCTTTCTTTGAAGGAAGAGGGGGTTTAGGAGGTGGGATGTTTTCTTCTTTCACTTTCTGAGTATCAGAATTCAGTATACTATCAGAAGATGCTGAATGATGTAGACGTTTAGTTTCTAAAGACTGACTGTTTTGATGTAACTCTGCGAACTTAGTTTTTTCTAAAATCTCTCGTTCACGAGGTGTCAACGGAATATCTGGCAAGGAATTTCTCTGAGGGCTATCTGGTTTTACTGTAATTGACTCTTGAACAGAACTTGTCAAACCAGGGCTTAACTTATCTTTATTTTTTACTCTATTCATAAAAAGTTGTACCAGAGCTTCTACCGCTTCTTGTAATTGCTGGATAATTTCATAAACATTACTTACAATAGTTGTATCAGAATTGTTAGTAACATGTAGAGCATTATCAGACCACTTGATTAAATTAGCCAGGGTTTGATAAACCTGACTGAATGAAGATAGCACTAGCGAACTCTGATCATTATTTAGCACCCTTTTCAATGACGATTGAATGTTAAAAACAGTTTCTAAAACCAAATTGGCACAACCTGGCAAAACTTCTACAGTTTTTTCTTTTTCAACAACTTCTTGAATGAATCGTAGGGCAGTTCTTAAGTCCTGAACATCAGTGTGTAAGTCTTCAATTTCATTTCCTGTTCGACTTTTCCCAACTTCTTCAGTTTCTGAATCTCCTTCAATAACTTTTCCCTTTAATTTAGAAGCTTTCCCTGGTGACAGGGGACCACGCTTTTGAGCAATTTTACCAATTATATCCTCCTTAAATGACCGAGCTCGTTTGGCTAGCTTTCCACCTCGAGGGCGAGACAAATCTGTCTTTTCTCCTTTAGCTGACATTATTTTGTTATACATCCAAATGAGCTATTTCATATTATAACAAATCACAATAGATGGAAAATAAAAATAACATTCTTCTCCTTTTCTTTAAAAAAAAGTGTGTCTGGTATAGGTCTTCACTAGGAATATCACTTCCGAAAATATTTTATCATTAGATCATATCTATGTGTCATGTATTTATGTTTTTTTGCTACACTTAATTTAGTCTTCAGTTTCATACGAGTCATTGCCTAGTTGTTACTGTAGTTTATTCACTCAATATTACTACTAGTATTAGTTAAATTCAAGGAACAATCGTAAAAATATTTATCTAATGCAATGAAAAGATGGGCTTCTTAGTCTTACCTAAACCAATTCATTCACGGGTGCTTAATTTCAACCTTGTTGATATTATTATTCAAGACTCGGTATAACTAAATAAGTAAGTCGTGGAGGAGTAATGCAAATGCACATACAAGAGGAGTCACTGCAGCTGAAGCTATAGGACTAGGATTCTAATTTCTAAGAGTAGGAATAACTTCAACTAGTAAGACAGCTGTACGTTCCCAGAGTAGTCAATAAAATTGAAATAATAATTCCACGAGTAGTCGTTTTTTACACGAAGTTCTCATGGCACTAAGAACATTGAAGAATTCAAATGTAACACATTAAAAGATTATTCAAATTTAAGTCAGTTAATCACTGTCTTCACGTACCTAGTTACTAACCCAAAGCCTTGCCCTAAACTTAAGCTAAATTCACCTTTTCTTAGCCAAGTCTATCCGCACGCCCTCTATGGTAATATACTATATTATTAGGCATATTTCCGGTGGTACACTTCCGCGTTCATCTGTCTAATTGAACATCTGTACGGTGATTGATTATAACTATGCCGAAGTTTAAAGAAGCCTTTTGCATAGTTTTACTGTTAGTAAGAGTATGTTCTAGATCATTAATATAGTAATATATGCCATTAAAAACAAACATTAAAAAATATTTAATTATATACCGTATTATGCTAATTCTTACTAAAATATAAAATATGTTAAACCAAGTTCTGAAGAAGTTGCAAGAGATGAAAGACCTTTACTCAATGATGGATTCAGATGATGGCAATTGGACTGGAACAATGGTAGTCAAACGACTTCTGGTGGGAGTGCAAGAAGGGAGAGACAGAAGCCTCCCGATAAATTCGAATTGGTATGAAGAAGCGATGTTGTTTTAATTCATTTATAATGTATGTTGTATTCGTTTTATTTTTACTTAAATAAGTGAGATGCAGAATAGAAGGTTACAAATGTCAACTTTTAAATGCTGAAATCAGTGAGGCAGAGCACCAGGGGGGGGGGGGGCAAGGAGAGAATATGAACATTCTTTTATGTTAAGCTTATTCGGAGATAGAAGAATGGCTTGCCTTGAAACTAAAGGTAATGCTGTTTAGTTAGTAAGAATTCCTGAAATATTTTAAAAGCTGGAATGCAAGTAAGGAATTTACATATATGGTTATATAAAGATACACCAGTTTACTTATTGAACTGTGCAAACTATGAATCCAAGAATAGCAGGAATCATAAAATTCATTAATATTTATTCTGCCATACATGAGGTATGTCTGAATACTCAAGACTATATTCAACCCTTTTAAAAGTAGTTTCCCATGTAAGCAGCTAGGTGACTCCACTACTTGCTGAATTTGTTTATTTCTTGTGATTTTATATCACTTTTTAGTGAGACTGTGAGATGAACGTCAAACCCATGAGACTGGCATGAAATCCATGAGAGTTACAGTATGCAGTGTTATATATATATTTTTTTCTATAAGTATTTATATACTGAAGGGATACATGTTAAAAATTCTTCACATAAAATTTACAAATTCAAAAATGTGTATTAAATTAATTTTTGAGAGCTACATCAAGGTGCAAAGTGACCAAAGAAGTCATAAATATTTGGTTACGAAGATTCTGAAATATAGTACAGGCCTACCAAACTAGGTAGAAATTTTTTCATAGAAATTAAAATGCACACTTACAAGATCCGCTTTCCAAACTATAACTTGGAAACCCTAATTTTATATTCATGAATTTGGGAGTAATGCCCATTGTTGATCAATACCGTGATGGATGTTCTTTAATTAAAATTTCAAGTTTTCTATCAATTTTTTTAAAATCCTTCTTGAGAAGTTTTAAGAAGTTTAACTTTGTAAAAGTAGTTTGAATGGTGAAAGATAGAAGATGTAGACCATTAATTGTTTAAATTGCAGATGATAATTGGTATACTTACTAAGTAAGTACTGTTAGCGAAGGAAAGAGATGAAATAGTTTTGTTAAAATTAATATATTATTTGACTGTAGGAAATAAAATAACAATGAATTTTGTCCAAACCCATAACTTAACATCTAAAAACTGTGATAATCCACATGCATCTCAATTTTGAAAAGATTTTTCAGCCTTCTGCAAAAAAGTCAAGGTGAATTGAAAAAGCATTTGTAACTCTAACTGTACAGTAATTCTGTTTTTATGAAAGTGACAATTGTTATCTAAACCATCAACAAAATATTTTTATGAAAGTGACAATTGTTATCTAAACCGTCAACAAAATGTTTTTATGAAAGTTACAATTGTTATCTGAACCGTCAACAAAATATTTCTATGAAAGTGACAATTGTTACCTGAACCGTCAACAAAATATTTTTGACATGTTTAGATTGACACTACCCTGACATGTAACTTTTAGTATTATAATTGGAAATATTTATACTGTAGGTATAGGAGATTCAGTTCTAATTAGTTCAGGTATACCAATTAAGAAGTTTATGTTGACAAATAGGATGCAAAATTTATAAAATTACAGAAACTTTAGGGGTTTGATTGAAAAAAGAAATTATGAAATCCAAAATGGCTTATGAGAATCACCTGTCAGGGAAACAATGGTTCTTAACTTACTTGGAGCCCTGACAGGTGCACTCAAAGTACCTATTCCATGCATTAATGACATTATGTGCAGATTACAGTTAACTTTTTTTGAGGACGTTACTTATTATCTGGATAATGGATAGGCTGTAGACTTGGTGTAGTTAGATTTTCAAAAAGCCTTTGACAAGGAGCAACAGAGAAGATTAGCTAAGAAAATGACACTGGTAGGGGTGAGGGAAAGACTGTTGGTTTGTTGGATGGGAAAAGCAAAAGGTTGTTATTAATGGACTCTTGTTACCAGTGGAGCATCTAAAGGGTCAGTGCCTGGGCCTCTACTTTTCCTTATTTACATTAATAACATCAATAGGGGTATAATTAGTGAGTTGGAAAAATATTTGGTAAATGAACTTTACTTATAGTAAGTGCAAGAAGCATTTAGGTTATAATTTGGATCACATGTTTATTATAGATAAGAAACCACTCATTAGTGTGGCAGAAAAAAATGGATCTTATCAGAGTGGTGAGTAAGTTACTCATATTATTGAGGCAGTGTTCTGTTGCTAGTAGTAAAGCTAATAGAAGTTTAGTCTGTATATATTGATATATTTATTACAAGTGAAAAGTCGTAATCTCTATACAAGTCTCTAGTTAGGCCTCATATAGAATACTGTGTATATTTTTGGTCTACTAAGAAAGGATGTTGACTTATTGGAAAAGTTTGGAGAAGAGCAGATAGGATGTAAGAGTTATATTATAGGGATTGATAAAAAAACTTTCGTTTCCTCTTGAGAAAAGATGGATAAGCTAGGGGTGATCCTACTGGGGAAACATATGGAACGCATTTGATGTTGAGTTGTTGAAAAGGATTCAAAATAGTATCCTGGGATAAAGGGGCTGTCATATGAGGAAAAAACTATTATAAAACCTTTAAAGCCTTTTAGAAAATACATATTAAGAAGTCATAAGCTAAACAACATTGTTGCATGAAGAAAACTAGTGAGTGGGATGGGAAGGAGGCCATCAGTTCACTCAATGTGTCATTTTAAATAGTTATTCAGTTTTGGTCACCTTATTTAAGTTAAGAAAGGATGTTCGAGAACTAACAAGATGGTTCCAAATGGAGATAGATTGAAAACATTTGACATGTTTCCACTGGAGAGAATATTGGGATATGATTAAGATTTTTAAGGTTTCTAGAGACGTGGAACCCAAACATTTAAATGATGATTTCATAAAAAAATCTACAGACAATAAGATTGGAGAATACGAGTTTAATATATGGTGTTCTAATGAGACATGGCTCCAGTTAAGG